TTAATTAAAACTGATGCAGGCCGCAGAAAAATAAATAAAACTAAATTGATGTCCTCCTCTTCTTAATTGGTTAAAAATATTCTGAAAAAATGGAGACTTGTCATTTATTTTCAAGTTTTTTACTGAGTTATCTTAACAGACTTCAAAAAGGTAAATATTGTCAATGACAATAAATATTTATTAAAATTATGTATGTAACACGAGTCTATTTAGTTGTCTATTTATTCACTCGTACTTTTATGTTTTACCACCTTACCAGACCTCCTAAAAGGCCTACACAAACATAATATTTGGGATGGGGAAGGACGTTAGCTACTTCTTCTACAGGTCAATTAATTATTATTCCAGTCACGCAAACAAAGTCATGGGCGCAGTTAGTCCTTTATAAATAGAAACACAAATATCGTGCATACGTTAAAATATATTCGTTCACTTTTCACTTTGTTCACGTTTACTTTTGTGTTCGTTGGAATAAAACAAATATTACAGAAAGTCTACTAACAATAAGTGGAAGCAGTGTTGTAATCTTTAAATAAAATGTTACTCCATTTCTGAGATTAGCGTGCACACATAACTAGGAATAGACAACATATCTTAAAAGTACGAGTATTTTTTGTCTTCAAAAACATGTGACATGTTCTATTATTTTTCGTAAATAATAATAACCTATAGTAACGAGGTCATATGCGATTTCTTATCATATTATATGTATTCATTCATTCATCGCAGCCCGGAAGACGTCCACTGCTGGACATAGGCCTCCCCCAAAGATCTCCACGACGATCGATCCTGCGCTGCTCGCATCCAATGCCTTCCCGCGATCTTGACCAGATCGTCGGTCCACCTTGCTGAAGGCCTTCCCACGCTGCGTCTTCCGGTCCGTGGTCGCCACTCGAGGACTTTACTGCCCCAACGGCCATCTGTCCTACGAGCTATGTGCCCTGCCCATTGCCACTTCAAAGTCGCAATTCTTCGGGCTATGTCGGTCACTCTGGTTCTTCTGCGGATCTCCTCATTTCTGATTCGATCACGCAGAGAAACTCCGAGCATAGCCCTCTCCATTGCCCTCTGAGTGACTCTGAGGTTGTTGATGGGGCCCATAGTTAGCGACCACGTCTCTGTTCCGTAAGTCATCACTGGCAACACACATTGGTCGTAAACCTTCGTCTTGAGACACTGCGGAAATTTGGACGAAATAATATATCGGAGCTTCCCGAACGCTGCCCATCCGAGTTGGATTCGACGATTGACCTCTTTCTCGAAATTGGATCTACCTAGCTGGATAGTTTGCCCTAAGTATACGTAGTGATCGACAATTTCGAGTGTAGAATCTCCGATTTTTACGGGAGCAGGTACGACATGGACGTTTGACATAATTTTCGTCTTGTCCATGTTCATTTTAAGACCTACTCCTTGTGAGACTCTACTGAGGTCTTCAAGCATTTTGCTAAGGTCTTCCAGGGTCTCAGCCATGACCACGATATCGTCGGCAAATCGAAGGTGATTGATGTACTCGCCGTTAATGTTGATGCCCAGCCCGCTCCAGTCCAGAAGCTTGAAGACATCTTCCAACGCAGCGGTAAACAGCTTTGGCGATATGACATCGCCTTGTCTGACACCTCGCTGCAGTTGGATAGGCTTCAAATTCTGGTCGTGGAGGCGAACTGACATAGTGGCGTTTTCATACAAACATTTCAACGCTTCGATATATCGATAGTCAATTTGGCACCGCTGGAGAGACTGTAGCACAGCCCACGTCTCGATCGAATCAAAGGCTTTTTCATAGTCCACAAACGCCAAGCAAAGTGGCAGGTTGTATTCTTCGGTCTTCTGAATTACCTGCCGCAGCGTATGAATGTGGTCTATGGTACTGAAGCCTTTTCGGAACCCGGCTTGTTCGGGAGGCTGGAAGTCATCAAACCTGCGCGCGAGACGATTCGTGATGACTCTCGAAAACAACTTATAAACATGGCTCAGCAGTGTTACGGGTCTGAAATTCTTCAGAAGCGATTTGTCTCCCTTCTTGAAGAACAGAACCACCACACCCCTTTGCCATGCTTGAGGCGTTTTGCCCTCGAGGATGACGGAGTTGAATAGCTTCTGGAGGATTCGTAGAACAGGTCTACCTCCAGCCCTCAGAAGCTCAGCAGTAACTCCATCATCGCCCGGCGCCTTGTTGTTTTTAAGTTGTTTAAGAGCCATACCAATCTCGTACAGGCTGACGTCCGGGATATCTTCGGTATAGTGTCGGGTTAATTTGGCTCTAGGGTCTTTCGCCGTGTTGTTAACAGGTGCCCGTGTTGTCGTGTATAACTGTCCATAGAACTTCTCAATTTCCCTCAAAAGTTCGGGTTTAGACGAAACGATCCTGCCGTCATCCGTCTTAAGTCGCGTCAGCTGGCTCTGTCCGGCAGCCAGATCCCTGTTAAAGACTTTTGAGCCCTTGTTTCTCTCAATAGCCTCCTTTACACAATTTGTGTTAAAGTGGCGTAAGTCACGAGTCAAGGACTTAGAGATCTGCCTGCTAAGTTGCCGATACTGAGAACCGTCAGTCGGAGACTGCAGGACCATACTTCGCCTTTCATCCATCAATTTGAGGGTAGAGATATATATTTTTCCGGTTCTTTCTGCGCGGCGGGTTTTGAAGTGCTTAGACCCAGCCGCACGGACAGTTTCCACGAACCTGTTGTTGTAGTCGTCCACGTCAACGCAGTCACCAAGGCTTTCGAAACGGTTTTGCAATTCTAGCTGAAAGCTTTCGGGGTTTTGGATCTGTATAGGTGTAGGGCGGAGCGTAGATTTCATCAGTCGGGATCGTTCGAGTTTCAGATTCAGATTCAATGTGCCTCTTACAATCCGGTGATCACTTCCAATTTTGACGGCATTGATCACAGAGACATCATTGAAAATCTGTCTTCTCGTTGACAAGATGAAATCTATCTCGTTTTTTGTGGCACCATCGGGACTAATCCACGTCCATTTCCGGTGTTCCGGCTTCCTGAAGAAGGAGTTCATCATAAAGAGGTTCTCCTTCTCCATGAAGTCGGCCAGCATATTATATGTATGTACGAAGGAAAATTAATTTAGCATAAAAACAATTTTAATGTTTCTGTCATGGTTATAAAACAATTATATATATACGTAGATACTTTTTTTTCAAATACATACATATTATAGATAGAAAACACCCAGGCTAATAAGATCAACCGTACATATGAATGGCGGCCTTATCGCTAAATAATAATTTATCCTACGAACATGTAGGTAATTGTGCGACGTATGAAGCTACTTTTGGAAGGCAGTAAAAATGAAGAAGGTTACAACAAGTGCAGTTAATTAAAATATATGCTTTTTTTAATGGTCCAAAATACTCTTTATGACATTACCTATCAGCCAATGAAAGTCCCGTCAAAATCGGTCCATCCGTTTCTCAGTTTACAAGAACAGACAGATAAATAGAAATATGCTTATTTTTAAGTAGGTATGTACTGAAATATCCATTTAGCAAAAAGTTTTTAATTTGAAATTACAAACTAATACTTCCATTTCATCAATTTGTATAGATTAACCTTTTTTTTATTATTACGACCGATGGTGTTGGTACAATAAACATTAGAGGACGATTATTTTATAGTCTTATAAAAATACAGTGTCTTGACACTTTTATACGAATTAAGAAAACTATAACGAAAATTCTTAAAGTAAATAAAATGTTCATAGCAGAATAAGTTTTAGTAGACGTTGGATTTTATCGTGAATAAGGAAAAGAATTAGCTAAAATATCAATTGTTGTAAGTTCGTCTAACATTAGGCTCGCAATAAAATATATTTTGTATTAATATGTTTATGTATCTTAATATTATTAATATTTATCTCTGTAACATGAGAGGATACCTCCCTGTTTGTTTATTATTACTATAGTGAAAAATATGTTTAAACGGAACAGATTTTGAACAAACTCAATAAGGGCTATATCGACTATAGTTATATGCGTTTTATTTACGTTATGATTCTACAAGGAATTCTAAAGAAATTATTGTAACGTTGACGTAAAATTAATTAACTAATTAACAAGTACATTAAATAGTTTAGGTAGTTAATATAGGTACGTATCTCTTTTATGATGTTTTCATAACAATTAATTACTTATTATTAGTTTTTAATAATCTGTGACATGGTGTCAGGTTGTCCTAAAAAATATGTGATACGTCAGCGTTGGCAATACGTCATAAACATACGTGTACAACCTTAAGACTTTGGCTAATGTGAACAGGTGGAAGCGAAATATTTTCTATCGACTTCAAGAAGTTCGCTGGTATTTTATAGACTGTATATATATTTTTTAAATTAGTTATACTAAAGACACACTTACGCTTACTTTATTTTATATCTTATTTACATAATGTATTTATATTAGGCAATAACATATAACAACTAGAGTACAATTGTACAGTTACCAGAAAAAACTTTTGAAAACTCTCCAACAATATAATGTTGAACATTTTGAAATTATAACTTGATCATTTTAGTATTTTATTAAGTACTTGATGCATTTTGATATGGTAATAATATATTTTTTACATAGATTCACAGACGGGCATATGCTGCCTGCTATTTTTTGTAATTAAACCATTTGATCTTTTTAAATCTATATTAATGAAAAGTGATTATGGTTCTTTAAAAAATAACGAACTATAGCAATATGGAGCTACGATTTAAATGAACCAGTTCTTGCAAATTCTTCTCAACTAAACTATCTAATCTAAAAATACTGGGTCTTATATGGATAGTGATAAAAATATTACATACATAATAGAAAAAAATGTTCTACACTAATTATGACTGTACATTGATCACTGAAACCGTAGAAGGTTTAAGTGTTACTATAAAGCACCCGCTCTCGCTACAGCTTCCGCTATCGCTTATCCACTATGCCAATTAAGACTGGAGCATACGGTCCGTGCAATTACGAAAGAATCGCACACTCTCCATGGACAGTCTTCGCCGCGCTCCCTTTTACTGTTGACGCGTGAAATTTTATTATAACTTATAAAATAATAATTTCAATATTAATAATTATACATATCATAATTTATTCGTTCAGTGCATCACTTAAGTTTAATTTGTGTTATTTTTTTTCTGCAGAGGGTATTTTTAAATTTCGGTAAGTTTTTCTTATAATTATTTAAATATTATATTTTTATTTAATTGTCATTTAATTGTAAATCATATTTTTATGCTACTTGAGTAAATATATAATATAACTACATAGGTATAAAATAATTTTACACCAGAAATTAATCATCTCACATTTAACAAAACTGTAAACTAACAGTATATTCGAAAAAAAATGTAGATATTGTATTAATTTTATCAAGCTAATAAATAATAGAAATAGTTCTTAAATTTTTTGACTCTCAGGTTATGCACTAGGGCAAGCTAATCTCATAAACTGCTAAACCGATTTGAATGCTGGGCTCACTGATGTATTTTAGCAATAATCTCGTTTTTTTTTGCAATATTTAGTAATAATTTAAGATCATTAGGTTGACAGAAAAAAAATAGTAAATCTATTGTTATTCCAAATACTCACGACAAGCAGTGAGTATAGCTGAATTTTGAAAAAAAATCGAGAATATTCCAAACGTATTAAATAAATTCATGTAATACAATATTTCAATTAGTGTCAGACATAGAAACGTCATTAGCTAGTTCAGTAAAATATTTACTTACCTACATCTGATCAATTCTCCTCGATCGACCCACTGTTCCATTTTAACAGGGATCGAAAATACGATATTCTGTCTGAGATTTGATCATCCTATCAGTTCCCTTAGGTTAGAGTCGTATACGTCATAGGCCTTCAGACGATCCGTAAACCTTCCGCGTGTTTCGAGTGCCCTTTGCACTCTCCCGATTTTCGTCCAATGAAGCTGTAAAAGTCAACAACATTATGATACTTTAAACCCCGATTAACATTCAACAATCTTCATTGTATATATATTATACTTTCTTGCACTTGTTATTAATTAATAAATAAAGATAATTATACGAAAATGTGAGTAAGAGTGAGCTTATCTGCAAGAGATCTCTTCCAACCAACCTAACGCTGAAATAAGTGGTAGTTAGCAGGCAACGATAGTGCTTGAGTTTTAGTAATAACAATATTCTAATGTTTACTTTAAAAAAAGTAAAGATGTACATACACTTAATAAAATATATAAATAACAAGAAAACATTAATACAAGATAACTGTATAGTTTTATACTACAGTTACTGTCCGCGTAAAAATAACAAAATCTTACATGACGGTAACACCATTTAAAAATAATAATTCAAGATAAATAAACATACTAATTTACTAGTAATAATGAGACTATTCCGTATTTTATTGAATACATCATTCACTCGCTAAATTTGACACGTATACGACTATTTCTTGTTCCAATAATACACCGATCTCAAAAGGAAGAAGTTCTCGTTTCAATCGCATTTTTACAGTTTACTAATAATAATAGTGCAGGATAAGTCACACAGTACCATTTAATTTGAAGCTAGAGCTTGTATATATACTATACGGTAAATGTATTTGTAGAAATATTTTAATTGTAAATACAAACATATAGAAAATACTAGATTAATACACCACCAATACCAATACCAATACCATAGTATTCACCAATTGTTTGTATCATGCGGGAATCAAACTCGAGATCATCGGAAATACAGCGTTGTGTTAAACTGTTAGACTAATAAGGCTGTATATATTTATTTTGTAATCCTATTGATTAGTTTTGACTCTAGGTTCCACTATCTTCGTTGTAATTTTTTTGCACGAAATTTCTTTTTATTTAATGTACAAATCTTTCATTAACCACCTATCGGTTATGGGTGTATTACATGAAAATATAAGTTTAAATCGAGGTCCACAACAATACTCAGTTTCAACTTGTTTTAAACTATAATTCTTAATAACAGAATTTCGTAATACAGCTCCCCGTGCTTCGTGCTTCCGCTGGTGTAATAAATACGTGATATTAGTTTATAGGAAATAAATATAAACATTCGAATGTGTGATAAAGCTGCATTTTCGCAATTTCATTAATTAACATACGTGAACTGATATTATATAAAGTATTTGGCAATATTTCTTATGACATAGACTCAGACGTGATCGAAAATATTATAATATCTATGCTTCTCTAGTGCACTTTCAAAATCATAGCCTGTATCTGAGCAATAAATAGTTTTAGTGGCATTTATATATCATCTTTATTATTCTTTCCATATGCATAACAAAAATAATAACGGATTGGTAAAAATAGTTCTATACTCATACAACTAATGTGAGGCACCTATAGGTTTCAAAAGAATTTAGTTGTTTTCCAACATGCGACTGTTCCTTCTGGTAACATTCGTCACAAATTCATGGTTAATTTTCACGATGGGCCAACTGACCTGACTTCATGCTCATCTTAACATTCTCCACTGGTCCCGCCAGCGTAAACTGTTAGCGCAGGAAAGTGCATCATCCATTAAAAAAAACTATCTGCCACTTACCTGCATGTAGTCGACTTTGTACGAAGTCTACCTCTGATTGAAACTCTGGCATTCTATATGTTATATTTTTCATTGATAATAAAGAATATAACATGTAGTTTTATTTGTTACAGTATATACTTCAATAAAATCAATGATTTTTTTTATAGTTTATACCATTTATTATAGTTATAGCCCGTAGAAATGTCTTCACCATTGAAACCGATTTTCCGGAAAAAGTTCATTCGTTACCACAGATAAGAGAATATTATATTATTCGTTACCGATATTTCGGCGTTGCATGCGCCGTGACCACACCGTTGTGTTTTTTAAGCTCTATAGATAGCTGTCATGCGCCAGTACACAATTATACTTTTCATTTTTTTCCACATGTAAACTACAGTTTATTTTTCTGACGTAAACCATGGGTAATTGAAATTACAAGGTATGAATATATTGAAATTACACTTATTTATACTTCGTTACGTCTATGGTTTCGTAAAAATTAGAATAGAATCTATAATTATTTAATTATTCGGCTCATTTTTACGGTCCTACTATAAATATGTTTATTGTCGCGTCTTTATTTAGATTTGTTTCTTTTATATTTATGTGGTGTCAATGCGTCCTTGAAATTACATTATCATGGAAATTTTTTATTGATATAATATATCTTTTATATCAATAAAACATTTCAATTCTATTATGATATAATGATCTAATTATTATATATAAACTATAATTAAGTAGAATAAGTAGTATTTCAGATTAAATAAATGGATTAATCCAAACTTATTGAACATGAGTCGTTAGATGATTATGAAATTAGTTTCAATTATTGAAATTAACTTGAATTTAGTGCACGTTTAATTGAATAACTAGGAATATTGCGAGGATTATTATATTATATTTATTATGACGATGGAATCTTCACTGTCTACTCACGAGTTGAACATGGAATTTGCAATTAAGTAATTATTAAGTAAATATCTATCTATCTAATTGTGTGCCATCCGGAGACCCTATCCTTGATTGTTAAAGAGAAAAGATCGTAATCAGATTTTGATGATGGCATCAGAAGGTTAATGCCTAAAAGATTTTAATTATAATTTAATTTCCTTTGAACTTGCATATTTGCACCTGACCTTGGAGTTGCAGTTCATAGGCTTTGCCCTGTGCCAAACTGTAATAAAGGTCGATCAATCAAAGCTGTGTCTTTTGTTCTCAATAGGTACTTACTTGCAAATAATCTGACTGCTCAACTGATTAAAAATAGTAACCTTCACCTATAAACATAAACAATATCAAGTATTTCACGCTGTTTACTATACTTGCCATAATACCTTGAGACATTCATGAACAGATATATAGATAGAATATACATTATTCGTATTATATAACTGAAATAATTAGCAAGTGATATAATTTTAACAAACGTACTTGTATGAACACAATAGAGCGGCCTTATTGCCGAAAGCAATCTATAATTGTAAAGAGATTGATTGATTAATCTATCAACGGTTAGACGATTTGACTAGCGTTAGAAACTTGTAGGCTATAATATAAATAGGTATCCGATAGACAGCAACTATGTCGATATAATCAACAAAAATAAAAATCCACGGGCACGGAACAGAATGGGTTCATTGCATATTACACTGCGGTGAATAGCTTGCCTGTTTTAGGTTCAGTTAAGCAGTTAGGTAACGGGAATTAATATAATAGTGATAACGTAATCATCTCACGCCCATAGCTCATGCATTGCCATTCGGGACAACTAAGACATCTTCCCTCGTGGCTTATTATTTCATTGCCTTATTTCATTAATCAACCGAAACGTATGCAGCTGAAATAGGGGAGACAGAGGTGTAGACAGATAATTTTGTATTTTTCTAGGCTGGAGGGAACTATAGAACACTTACTGCTTTAAGAACCACATAAGTACCAACCTTCGAGGCGTCATTATCGAAGTCACGAGGTCGCATAAGCATTGTACTGCGAAAATAACAATATTACTCCAATTTTTAATCTCAAAATGACCTGATTAGTTTTATAGATATTAACATAATATAGCTTATGTTACTCAGAAATAATATATCTTTGATATTTTTTTAGTTTATTTATTACAAACCTACAGATAATCGCACCTTTTCTCTACATATATAATAGTATGAATTTAATGGGAGATTTAATTTCACCCGACACACATTATGGTACATTGTGGTACATTTATAATATCCTAATCAGACATTATAAATGTATCATAATGTAAATCTAACCTTATTGTGAAACCGGATAAGTCAAAACCAAAAATCGCAAAAACGTAGTTGACACAAGTTGTTAGTTATGTATTCATATAGGTATAGTGTAAATTTAGTGAGGTAATCTAGTCATTATTAGCACTTAGTGGAATTTCGATTACACCTTCATATATGAGAATAGTTGTTGGTATTTAATATAGGATTACCAGAGGTATACTCTGTACTAAGTCGTCTGAGGGTTATCTCTGTCTAAACATTTTTTTGTACCACTCTAATGCTGTTGGCTGCAGCTGACCTTTACAGCTTCGGTACGGGGCGAGTGCAGATGGTTTTTCAAACCCGCAAAAGGATTTACAGAGCGGCC